TGGATGCCCACACGATGGCTAAGTGTGCGACAGGAATGTGTGATAATCTGCTGACATGTGTGTTGAGGGCCTGGGATGCGGACAAACCGTTGCTGTACTGCCCGGCCATGAATGTGAACATGTGGTCCCATCCCATCACTCAAACACATTTGGATGCCTTGCAGTCGTTCGGCTATAAACAGGTCGGACCTATCGTCAAGCGACTGGCCTGTGGTGACACCGGTATGGGAGCTATGGCTGAGGTGTCCGCTATTGTCCACGAAGTCAAACAAGTGCTCCAATTATTAGCATTGATTTGATTTCATTAGAATAGGCTTTAGTTATTAAATATAGTTTTTATGTCAATGGAAAGGGATTAGTGTTGAGTAGAGTAGAGGAATGTTAGTCTAGATTCTAGAACTTGATGGTCACAACTCATGTCAAACATTGATATCAAAGATTTATATTCTGTCAAAAATAATAGGGTTTAGTGTATAAAACAGCTCATGGATGCATGGATCGATGGATATGTCCACACGTTTATATGAACTCATTTGTATTTATAAATTACAATTTAATTCAATACATAACTCTTCAGATAATAGATGATAGTTTAGCCAAAGATTAGCGGTTTTAGTTAATTAAGTCGTTTTCAGGAGATTAATTAAAACTTTTTTTATTTAAATACAATTAAATTTAGATATACCGTATTTATAAAATGCTATTTTGCCAATATTTGTACACATAAATAGTAATTGCAAATAATTAACAGACAATTGCTATAAATTTCAATTTGTTTAGTATTCTAAACACAATTTTCTCCTTTTATTGTGATCTTGAAAAATATTTAAGTTTGAAATCATAGTCGACCTCAAGTTATAACTTGAATATATTTTTTATATTTTTGTGTATGATCTGGAATATTTATTTAGTAAATTGGTATTGTATTCAGAATTTATGAAAATATTGCACACTCTCACCAACTGTTTAAACATAGCAAAAGTCCTATTAATATATTTCCTAAATTGTATTTTTTTTTGCAATTAATTCAGTTATACTTGAATTAATAACTGATGGTTAAGCAGAAAACCTTATGGATGACAACAAAAATAATTTTTGTCTTCAATTTTTCAAGTGCTTGAGATTATAATCATATTACTGAATAAATTTATACTAAAGAATATATAAATAGAATTTTTAGTCATTTTTATTTTAATATTTTTGTTTAAATTATAACTATTATTGATTACGAAAATAAAAATGAAATTTTATTTTTACATTTTACCTATAAAATTAATTAATTCATTGTATATTTAAGTGTAAAACACATGAAATCCTATTCAAAGGCATTCAATACTGTTTAAGAGCTCATTGAAGGCCAGCCCTCGAAAAGTTGGCATTTCTTGAGTTCATTCCATTGCATTTGGTATCTGTCGCTAAGACTTATATCTCGATCACAGTTTAAGAGATCAATATCTCTATTAATAGTGGAATCACTGATTAATAGTCTATTTGTGGCCATATTCTTCTTCGTCACTCCAAGTTTGTGGCCTTCGGTGAGCACTTCTGATACGGTCTGTCCATCACCTCAAT